CTTTCTCACATATGAAGGATTCTTGAATCTTTGATTTCCCTCTTTATACTTGGAGTCTTAAGAACATCACTGGATCATTACAAATTCTCCATTTAACTTAAGCATCCGATATGCAAAAGAAAAGTGTTTCTCAATAACTTAAATACTATTTGCATGACTGAAAGATAAACTAAGAAGAAATCCCTCTACTTTTATATACAGAAATGTGTCTTGTGCAAGTTCAAGGCAATGTAGGCAAGAAAATAAATCCAAATCAGGATCTCTGTTATTCACTGACTAAACAGAAAAGTAGAATAGTGTACATTTTTCTAACTTTTTTTAATACTGAAATGTTGTTTGAGCATACAAAAAATGTAGCTCCAAAAACTAATTTGCTTCTTTTCAGAAAGATATAAAGGAAGTTTCAGAAACATTTGAGAGTCAAACTTTTTGGCCTCCATAACTTTTTAAATAAAGTAATTGGTGGGTGAAACTGCGAAGGTGTAAGTTTAGTGTTGTTTTTGATTGTTTTGAACTGTATGTCACCCAAAGCCGTTCTGTGAAAGGCACTGCTTCATAAAGCCATGCTATTGTTTTTACAGGAGAAAAATGCAACTGTTCCCTTAAGAGAAATAAATTGCATCATGAGTTGATAAGAGACATATACTAATTTATTTGGTACAGCTTAACCTAATGACACACAATCAGTTTGATCTAAGAGAGTTTGGGGGCCATTCTGTTTAAAAGGGGTTTAAGCAAATAACTGGAACTTACATCTTCCTCCTACTTCACAATACTGTTTTGTAGGCCTGTATCATAATAGATAATATACTCATACTTGTTTCATAGTATATGAGCTTACTTTATTTCTATATTTCTACAAAATATTGCACTGCAATACAAATCACTGTGTCACAATATCTGCACAATGTACTTTGACAACATATTTGCAAGTCTAACACATGAAGTTTAATAAGACATTATATAACACCATGTGGACCACCAGAAAATCTGACATATTTAGACTATTCTTAGACATGTCCTAGTGCACAAGCATTCATTGATTTATATTTTTAAAGAGTCAGATGTTTCTTCAGTCATCTCTCCTCAGGCTCTGATCCTGTCAGATCTAATCATATGAGGAGGACTTGGTTAGATTAGTGATTGGAATGGACACATTCAGGGAAAAATTAGTTGCTTTGGGAAGCAATATTTGTGATTCAGGAGTTGCCATTCTTTCCTCCAAGTCAGGTGGTAGGAAGAATTGGACTACAAAAAGTGTTACTTCTTATACGAGACATAAAATAAAGCCATACTCAGATGTTAATGTTTCTATTGCATTTTTCAAAGACATGGGAATACTGACCTTTGTGTCCTGATCAAATTCCAAAACTGCTAATTACTTTTGCCTACTTGCCTATGCTTTTTCAATAAGATAGAAGACTCCTCAGCTGCTATGCTAACATTGTTGCGTAATGATGCTTGTATCCTTTCAGATAAGTGCACTGCATTTTATTTCTGGATCCAGAACAGTGATTTTATATGCTGCAGGAATAGAATGCAATTTTGTATAGAACTTCAGTGCTTTTAAAAGTTATCGTATAGGCCTATTAATAAAAGTAATATCAAATTGTACATATTCTTATGCTGGTCATAGGGATTTAATGGGCATATCTACATCAATTAATTCAAAGCAATAAACTCTGGTACATATTATGCCAGAGGTTATTATTCCCAGGAACCTGGGACTGCAACACACTGAGCTGTGTTAAAGCAGCCCCAGCTGGCAGGGGACCTGGGGGGTCAGCTTGCCAGCCCAGGGCTGCTCTGATCCGGCTCAGTGTGCTGTAGAGGGGCTGGTTGGGGGATGAGGGCGCTCCACTGTGGGGCTAGCTGGCAGACAGGAATGTCAGTGTCTACATTTGTGTTGCTGTACACTAAAAAACTCTCCTACAGGATAGTACTTGTATTTACAAGTACTCTAACCAGCAGCAGAGTTTATTGGTTTATTGCACTCTAATAGGGGTACATTTGTCGACACTGAGACGTTTACTGTGGAGCTAATTAGGCAGCTACACAGTAAACGTCTCATGTAGATGCACCCAATGGCATAACTATACTTCCTTTTTACTAAAAGTGTTCAAAGGGGACCTATTTCTTTATTCAATGTGTAAATGTAACTCTTAGTGCTAACAAGACACACATACATCCCTGGCATAACCGTCCCCTTAAGTTTTATTGAAAGCACTATTCAAATTTAATACCGACCTTCTAAGCCTACATTAGAAAGCACTTCCACCAATAATAAAAGTACTTTTCAAACAAAACTCCTGCTAATTCTCATTAAAAATCTCCTATGCAGTATGTGTAAAAAAGATTTATCTAATGCACTGCAAAATTATCCACAAAGTACCACACTGTGAATGAACATTAATAAGGAGGATGAAGCAAAAGCATAACACTACCACTTTGAAATGTAATGTAATTAACATCACTTCCATTAATACAATGTAATATTAGCTGTTTCCTATTTTTGATATCTATTTTTTCAGGAATCCATATTCATTAAAAAGGTCTATGATTTCATTTTCTCTCATTCAGAAATACAAAGGTGATTGCACAGAGCTTCACTGCTAATCAGAGCTGTACAGTAAAATATATGAAAATCTCATTACTGTGTTTTTTAGGGTGCTTGGGCTCTCTCTCTCTTTCAAGATTTGCCAGACAGTACTAGTAACAAATAATGTGCTCTGTGCTGCTGAGATTTGGCCATTTGTCTTTTTGAGAATTTTCAGATAATCTCTTGTAAAAACCACGAGAATAAAATAAATGAGAAAATGAGATAAAACTGTTAAAACTCCCATTATCTGCTATAATTTGTAAAATATTTTTGAAAATTCATTTGATAGGCAAGATGGTACAAAGACGTTTAGAACTTCAAAATTCAAAACCTAATGCAATTTATAATACTACCGAGTCATAGTGTCTGAGGGGTATGAGTAGAGGTTATCTCCCCACAGGTTAAACAGTAATATTCTCTGAGCTGTGACATGCCTTACTGGAAAAAATGAAACTTGAATGCAGTGCTTCCAGGAATGATATTCAAGTGTAAGCAAATCAGTATTTCTACCATGGCAACATTATTTCTTAAAAGCCTTTCAGACATTTTGCTTTTGGAAATAATTTTAGAAATATAAGTGGCAACACAAAAGGATATGGAAATATTATGTTCTAGGGTATCCATGTCTATGTAGAGAAAATGAAGAGGGGTGAATATGTAGGTGATGACATGACATCTACTACCAAAGTGAATGAAACTGACTAGGTAGTATGGTTTAAAACAACCTTCACTCATGAAATATTTCTATTGTCATTGGATAAAGAACGAAGCAAAGCAAATACAAAAACAAAGTAAAGCAATTTTAGGAAGAATTGATTTGAACAGAATTAATCTTGAGGGAATTGTTGAAGTTCAGATGAACTTTTACAGTCGGAGAGAAACTGAAAAAAGCATCTATTGAATTATATGTCTTGATTTTCTTTAATGCTAGTTTTAAGCACTGGGTGCAGGGGCGATTATACTGTAGGGAAGTAGCAGTGCCTTGCATAGAACTGGAGGGGTGGGAGTAGGTGGGAGCAGGAAATCACAAGCTATGAGATAAAAGATGGAGGCTAAAATGTTGGCTAATACCATGTGTATAATTCTAAATTGGCCTTTATTCAGGAAATTAATTCTAGACATATTGTAGCTGCAGCTAGTGCTCTACCAGCGTGCACAAAGGTGCTTCCTGATTTCCCAGCAACCTCCTACCTCCGGCCATGTCTGCTCTTCCTTCCAAGTTCTATGCCAGTTGTTACATGATTCTTTATAACAATATTTCTGGCTATGTGGTGCAACTATTTGCAGGGATGAGAAGTTATGAATACATCAGCCATCCCAGGGAAACATGCCTCCCTGCTATTCCACTAGAACTCACTAGGCCTCAGGGTCCTTCAAGTGTGCTAAATTTGAATTAACTCCTTACTTCTTGTTTGTGTTATCTCTTTTGGGGAATAGTTACTCCTTCCTGATGCTGCCTTCGTTGTGTTGTGCAGGTTATTGTTGGTCATTTCTTCTGATTCCTTAATGCCTGGCCAGCTGGTGGCTGATATTCCTTCTGTGTCCTCCTGATCCTGGCCTTTGTTCTATCTGTCTGAATATGTTGGGCTGTCTGCTGCTACTCCACAGTTGCCTTTGGTTTCATCTGTACTGCTCCTCTCAATATGTAGCTGTTTTATATGATATGTGTCCCACTGTAGTTTTGGACTAAAGTATTTCTCTATTACATTTTTAGCTAACTGATGGTTTGATCAGTACATACTCACCTGTGTGCAGGGACCTTGGGTCCTTGGCTCCTTTGTTGTAGCAAGCTGCCTGCTTAGTTTGACATTCTCTGAACAGTTTCTATGTACTCTCTCCTTGCCTGAAGCATACAACCCTTCCAGGGAAGGACAGTTTTGGTTGTCTGGCCTATTGGTCTCTCTGGTTGGCTTTACTTGGTCCAAGGGAGGGTGTTTTTGCAATGGTCCAGCCCTGACAAGCAGGGATCCCTTTGTGTCTGTATTGCCTTTGCCATGAATCTTTACTTTACACCTCTCCTGTTGAAGCTGAGTTCTATACACTGCCAAGAATACAAGAGTTGTGGGGCCAGAAGAAACCCCAAAAGGATGGAGCATGGTATTGTATTCCCAGTGTTAAGGGTTCTGCTATGGGAGAGAAGATCACCCATCTCAATTGTAACACATGTTAGGTAGGAGTTGGGTGCCTAGATAATCAAACTGGATTGCTTCTCAACATGCCCAGAAGCTAAAGTGTAGGCACCTAGTGAACTTTTCAGGCTCAAACAGAGGCACCTATATAATCTGGACACTGAAGCAGTTTTGCAGCCAATGACAGTGGGGGTCTATTACAGACCCCCCAACCAAGAG